CCCATCATGAACTGAATATTTAAAAGTAGATAATAAACTTATTTTCCCATTAAAATCTCAAAGATTTTGTTTTCAGTCATTAGTGGGATTTGCATAATCCGTTCAGATCTAAGCGACAAGTAACTCAACTGTAAGTACTGCATGTTTTTGGGTAACTTTCCATGAACGACGTTTACTGAATACTTTTATATTTTATGTGAACGTTGAACTGAATGGATCAGTTTTAAGGTAATGAACGAGAGTGATGTTCACTCTGCCCCCAGATTCGACATCCTCTGTCTCCAATCCGCTCACGTACGTCATGTGAAGTACTTGTCATGTTAACTGTTCCACATCCACCGCTACTCCCCCGCATGTCACCACCCGTGTACGTCTTCTCCATCCTTCCCCTTTAAAATGTGAAGCAGAGCTATTTTTTTTTGCTCCAGTCTGGTCCAGCCAGGTTAAAATTGCAATTGCAATGAACAGGAAAAAGAATGTTAAGATCCAGTTTGTCAAATTAAAAAATGGTAACGACAGATCGGTAATTAAAAATTAGAGCATAATTCTTATATATTCCCCAAAACTAAGACCATTTAATTAAATTATTGGATGCAAACTATTAGTACTTCAACATACCAGGAAGCAGATTTCTCATCTTGATCAAAATATTTATTTTGTACTCAAAGCCTTAAAAATGTAATCAAATCCAGTAGCACAAACTCCAAGAGTGCATCTCTCAACCTCAAAACAAACTTCTTATTGCAGGCAGGGATTAAGAGATGCTTGGAAGTAAAGAACAAACAGTTCATACAAGCTAATTTGTATGATCCTAGTTATCTGTTACAAAAATCCACAACAAAAAGAAAATATTTGGGCAGAAACTGCATATATGCTGATGGGGATTTTTTCTTTTTACGGAGAATGTGGGATTTCGGGGTGAGAATAATGAGTGACACACACAGCTCACATTTGCATACATTTACAGGGTTCCTACAGCATAAGGCAAGTTAAATTCAAGACTTTTTAAGACTTTTTAATGCCACTTGAAATAAAAATTTAAGACCAAATTCACAAGAAACACAAGAAAAACCTGCTTGCGACAACTTAACCCAAAAGTTTATTATAACATAAACCACTGCACTAATGTTTCAAATTTTGAAAAGCTTCCCATTCAGGAAGAAAGCTAAAAAAACTCAAATGACAGATAGATTTGAACAATTATTTAACTGAATTCACAAACTTTGTTTTAGCAGGGAACAAAACAAATCAGTTCTAAAGCAACAACATAACTAGTGTAGTTAGTATGTTTGATTTGGTGATAAGTGGAGGCGTTGCAGAGACAAGGGTGGGAAAACTGTGAAATACCGGCTGTTTCTTGGTAACTCCATTTTGACGCTTTGTGTTTCGTGCTTCGCATGTGCGACTCCACTGCCTTAATTCCCATCGTTCCCAGCTTGAATGACTTGTTGCACTAAATTCACTGAGCCTCATGTATGTTCCCTGGTTTTAGCCATGGAGAAAACTCTTGGCTGGAGCCAATTTTGGTTACATTTACACTTGCTCATATTTTCCAGACTAAAAGTTAATGGCGCATCTCCCAAAAATTGGTTTTTGGTTCCGCTATCGGGACGGAACCAATAATTGCGAGCCATTTTTTTTTTTTTTAAATAAAAAAGGTCAATTTTATTGCTTTATTTAATTACAAAAATAAATCATAATAAAAATTATCCTATTTATGATGTTTTAAAAATTAAGACCTACAAAAGACTGATTTAAGACATTTTAATACCAATTAAGGCCTTGGTTTTATTTTGAAGAATTCAATGCCTTTTAAGACTTTTTAAGGACCTGCGGGAGCCCTGATTTGATAATGACACTTTTCATTGGATAACGTTAGGTTTTACGGCACTTGTCACAAAAAAATGGCAAAACA